CAGGAGTGGGGGGCTGTCCTCTGAAACTGCAGGGAAGCATGAAAACTCTGCCCTCTCGTGGCTGAACTGGGGTGGTTCAGTTTCTTGCCTGGCTTGTGTTAGGGGCTGATCCCGTTGGGGCTGCGTTGGCTGCTTCACAGACATGGTGAGGGGGGAGCCCGGCCCCAAGGAGCCCCCAGAGGGGCAAAGCTCTGGGTCGCCTCCGAGAGGCACGGAGGCGTTAAACCAGACAGCCTTGATGGGTGAGGCTTATGGGTTCTGGTTAACCGGTGGGGGCTGAAGCCGCCCCCTGGGGCCCACCACTGGCAGGGGTGTTCCAGCTGGGCCCCAGTCTGGGTGGGGACTCCAGCCTGCCCCCTCACCTGCCCCATGTAATTGGTTAACTGGTTACATATAACCAGTAAACCAATTAAATGGGATTTCACATCCTTAGTGTGGGGTGAAGTCTGTGGGGTGGGGGCAGCAGGGGCTCACTGGAGGGTGGCAGGTGTGACCCACCTACCTGCTGGGTGTGCTGCACTGTCCCAACTAGTGAACCTGAGACCACTTACGAGAGAATGAGTCTGTTTTGCAGCCCTAGCTACCAGCCAGCTGGCTTCTAGCTCATGCAGTAGGGGCTCATGCACCAAGTGCCGCAGGTTCCAGGCAGTGTTCCCTCTAATTCTTTTCCCATTTGCGTGCAGAATAAATTTGTTGTGCACCAAGGCATGTGTGGATGTGCACCACCCCAGAAACACCTGCTGCAGGCTGTGGGTGCTCTGCTAATCAGCTGAGCGGCATTTGAATCCCTCTACGTCTCAGCCTAGAGGGAGCTCTGGTCCTAGGTTCGGTTCCACCTGTTGGCATTAGACAGGGCTGTGTTCGAAGTGCTGTTAAGGCAGCAGAAGCTGGTACTGTCCAGGGGAGGGGCACGAGGCAACATAGCTCAGCCGGGGATCAGGGTGGTACAGGAGCATCCTCTGCACAGCCGGGGTTGTCACTGACCCTTGTGCCTGTGCAACTCGCCCTGCTGGGCAGGAGCAGCGGACCTGAGCCTCGGGGCTGTGTGGATGCTGCTGGGAACGTAGCACGAGGACTTTGCACGAGTGTGGCTCACCTGGTGCAAGCTCCTCTTTGTGCCAGTCTAGACAAGGCCTTGGAAGCAACTGCCAGTGTGGGGT